TCCTAGATTGATTCAAGAACTTCTGATTTTACCTCCTGTTTCTTGATACTTCTCACTTCCCTCCATTCCTTTCGTTAGTGACCTACCTCAGGACCTCACATCTCTTTCCTTTAATGCTGTAGCACTCACCTTCTGCCCCATCTTCAGTTTCATCTGTATCAAATCCTTTGAGTGCACATCTAAAGTGATCTATGTAAGATAAAAATGAGACTTTATCAGTTGCTCCAAAAAACTCTTAAATGTGCTAATCTATAGCATGAAGGATTGTTTGTTGAATGAATGAATGAATGAAGAATGGGACCAGCATCCTTGTTGGGGCTCATTTGGGTCCTAGATTATATTGTCTATAATTCCTTGAAGGTTTCATGTATCAACTAAACCTTTTCTGAATTTTCCTTGGAAGTTCATAAAACTGGGATGAATATCATTAGTATGGGATTATAGTTCATAGGTTATCTGTAAGAACAAGATAGGCTTCCTATGGTGAAAATAAAATTTATGTGCCTATATTTGTCTTTTAGTTATAGTCTATTAAATTTTTATATGGAGACTTTCTTAGGAGAGCTACTCAGAAATAAATGTTTCCCCCCTCTTTTACTAAAAAAGAAAAGTGAATGTCACTTTAGTGTATCTGCATTTATGTAGCTGAACTTCTGTCTTATGAAACAAGATTCTAATCACAGTTTGACAACTGGTGTTTGGATTGCTATTCTTAAAGTTTTTGTAAATTTGTTTTAACAAAGAATCTTCATTCTCTTAATAACAGCTTACCAAAAAAAAAAAAGGAAAGAATATATTGCATTACAATTAGTTGCTTAAATATACTTGTCAGGTCAGAGGTAGGAAAACATGGGTATTTTCCTTTACTCTTAAATTTTTGTACAGTGCTTCAATATGCTCTTTCTTTGTGATAAAATAAATGTAACATAAAGTTTACCATTTTAAAATGTACAGTTCTATGGCATTGTGTGCATTCACATTTTTTGTACTGCTTTAGTATACTTTTTAAAAATTATTATATTGAAATAATTCATTATTGAGACCCAAAACTGTGCTTAGGTTAAATAAGCAAAATTCTCTATGGGGCTTATCAGTGTGTTCGGATGAAAAATGATTTTGTTTGTTGAGTTTTGTTAAGGAACTTGCAGCATATCTGGCCTTATTGGATTCAGAGAGCAAATGCCAATGGGAACTTATGGAAACAGGTTTATTAATTCGATTTATTTAAACATTTTCCCCCCCATTTCAGTATAATAAAACACATTTAAAGAGCTGTGAATAATTTATTCTTTTGTGTAATATATGTTATATATATAAATGTATTTAGTTGCTCATTTGGAGGCTTGTAATAACTTTGCGTTTTGTCCTTTGTAAGATGATAACCTAAGATCGTATCTTTTCCATTAGTTCTAAGTTGTAAGCCATTTTAGGTTAAGTTTTATAATTATGCAAAAGTTACAGGTCAAGGCAAGAAATAAGCATTATGAGGCAGATGGATTCTTTTGTAGGGTAGATATAAAACATTTATTTCTTGAAGACTTACCTTCCTAGGAGAGAAAATTTTGATATAAGAAGATATCACCATAAAGAAGAGAGCCTTGTAAGAGAAAGCTTTTCTGATAGCAGTAGTTTTGTTCTCATAAACAAATAGTGGCTGAAGTCAAGAGTGGTGCTTAGACTGTTGGGAAGGATGGTATAATACCACATATAGGGTACAGGAACTATAGATGTACATTCAGAGGAACACTGATTTCCCATTTAGGCTTTGTTAGAAACTGTTATAGGTTTTATAACTCTGTTGACAATCATCTTATTCGAAACATGATATGCTTATATAAAAATAATTTTTAATGTGAAATCTCTCATGACTTAAAAGTCTGGTGAAATAGTAGTTTTGGAAAACTGAGTCACAGTTTAATTTACCATCACAATCCACAGCTTCTCTCAGTATTTTACTTGGTAGATTAATCCCATCTCAGCAGTACCATTAGGCTCCTGCCTTGAAAGTGAGGGAAAATACAGACATCTGATTTTTCTGAGCATGTGGGCTGTGACGAATTTAAATGTGTTCAAATGTGTTTTAATAGTGCATCTGTGTATAAGCAGCTGAAAATTTATGGTTGTTTTTTAACATAAAAATGAGGAAATTGACCACTGTCGGGTAATAAAAAATAACAAATCTATAGAAAAATAGGAGTAAGTTTTTAAATGCCAGAGCACCAAGAGACAATATCCTCTAATCTAAATTGACTAATTGATATCTTTGTCACTTAAAGATCAGATATATATTTGAGTTAATGAATCATCCTCCCAACATCCCATAACTAAAGCAAATGCTGTTTCCTTTTTCCAGGCAAAGTTGTAGTCAACTGAATAATAAACCATCCTGCCTTTTTCTGAATCACAAGATAGTGAGACTCTTAAAGGCAAAACTGCAGTTAAAAGAGACCCTAGAGGAGAGATTCTATCATGTTTAAAAGAATGCCAGTAAAGGAAACAGCCTAGACTACTTTGGCTACACTTTTCAGTGTTTAAATTAGTAATATCATATGGCTGTTTTTAAACATTTTCATTTTATCATTGAAGATTTCTTTTACATGCTCATAGGTCAGGAGTGAATCAACTTCCGGATAACGACCAATATCCTGGTCGGTGCCTACTGACAGTCCTACAGAAACCAGATATATGAGGAAGTGTTCCTCTCCCTTCAAAAAGATTAACCTTACAAAAAATATTTATGAACATCTTCTCTTTTGAGTCTTATAATAATGCTCTATCATACTTAATGATTATTAGTTCCTACTTAAAAGCAGAAATTAAGATTCAGAGAGGCTAAATCACTTACCCAAGGTCACTAGTGAATGGAACAAAACCAACTGGAGACTAGTCATTTTTGCCCTGAGGACTGTGCCTTTGGCTCTCTATACGTCACTGCCTCTTTGATATGCTTTATAAAATTGGCTATTATAAACATGCACTAAGGTACTTTTGGGAAATTTTTTCCTGGGAGAATTATCTGAGTTGATAATGTGATTGGGAGCATTATTAATTTGAGTCTTTGGGTCTGAACAGAAGAACCTCAAAAATTAGTGAAGTCATTAATATTTCTGTTTGGTTCTAAGCAGTGTCTGTTAATAGCCTTATACTGAAATGTAGGTCTGAATCTCATAATGTTCATTTATTTTAATTTTCTTTTTGAAGTATAGTTGATTTACAATGTTGTCTTAGTTTCTGGTGTGCAGCAAATTATATATATATATAATACACACACAGACGCACATAATATATGTTCTTTTTCATAGTGATTTATTATAGGAGTTTGAATATAGTTCCCTATGCTATACAGTAGGATCTTCTTGTTTATCTGTATTATATACAGTAGTCTGTATTTCTAATCCCCAAATCCTGATTTGTCCCTCCCCCACCCCCTTAACCCTTTGGTAACCGTAAGTTCGTTTTCTATGTCTGTGAGTCTGTTTCTGTTTTGTAAATAAGTTCATTTGTATCGGGCTTCCCTTGTGGCTCAACTGGTAAAGTATCCGCCTGAAATGCAGGAGACTTGGGTTCGATCCCTGGGTTGGGAAGATCCCCTGGAGAAGGGGTGGCAACCCATTCCAGTATTCTGTCCTGGAGAATTCCATGGACTGTGTAGTCCATGGGGTTGCAAAGAATCATAGACACGACTGAGCCACTTTCACTTCACACTTCATTTGCATCATATTTTAGATTTCACATATAAGTGATATCATATGGTATTTGTCTTTTCTTTCTGACTTAAGTTCACTTAGTGGATACCTCTAGGTCTACCCATGTTGCTACAAATGGCATTATTTTATTAATCCTGAGTAGTATTCCAGTGTATATATTTATATGTACCAACTCTTCTTTATCCACTCCTGTCTATGGACATATGGGTTGCTACTTGATCTTGGCTGTTGTAAATAGTGCTACTCTGACCATTGGGGTACATGTATCATTTTGAATTATAGTTTTCTTTGGATATATACCCAGGAGTGGGATTGCCAAATCATATGGCAACTCTATCATAATGTTCATTTAAATCATTTACTCGGAGATCCAACCAGTCCATCCTAAAGGAGATCAGTCCTGGGTGTTCATTGGAAGGATTGATGTTGAAGCTGAAACTCCATTACTTTGGCCACCTGATGCAAAGAGCTGACTTATTTGAAAAGACCCTGATGCTGGGAGGGATTGAGGGCGGGAGGAGGAGGGGACGACAGAGGATGAGATGGTTGGATGGCGTCATCAACTTGATGGATGTGGATGGACTCTGGGAGTTGGTGATGGACAGGGAGGTCTGGCGTGCTGAGGTTCATGGGGTCGCAGAGAGTTGGACGCGACTGAGCGACTGAACTGAACTGAACTGAATATTCACTTAAATTGAAAGATTGCTCAAGTGAGAGTTATTGTTTACTGTTAGTTCTGAATCTGACTTTCAAGATGCCTTTATTCTTCAAAATAGTTTGAGGAAAAAAGGTGATTTTTTTTTTTTTTTTGTTAAGCTGTATTGTAAGGACTTTTTGATGTAATGTATGGTAAGGTAAAATTTTTTTTATTTGCACTAATTTTAAGTATAAAAATTAAACTATAACAAACTGTAAATGAAGACAACTTTTTAAAGAAATTCAGCTTTATTTGTTTCATTTATCTATAGGGACTGAGCAAGGTTATTTAAGTACCAAAGGGTAGAGGATCTTAGGAAATCTGCTTTAACGAACAAATAAGAGTGATTTGTAGTTAATTTCATTTCAAAGAACATGAGACATTGAAAAAATTGGTTTTTCCTGAACCTAATAATCTCAGTTTTGGGGACAATTTCTTCTTTCTGAAACAATACAAAAGTAAGGTTTAGGCTAGCTTTCGTCCATATAATCATAATATCTGAATGGAATCTGCGGAGTTCATAGTAACTTTTGTTACTTTTGTAAAGTAACTTTTGTAAAGTAAATTGATTCATTGTTTTTCAATTTGTTTTACAGGATCCTGCAAACCAGAAATGTGGTGGAAGAAAAAAAACCGTGTCTTTCAGCAGCATGCCGTCGGAAAAGAAAATCAGCAGCGCGAGCGACTGCATCAGCTTCATGCAGGCGGGCTGTGAGCTGAAGAAAGTTCGGCCGAATTCTCGCATTTACAACCGGTTCTTCACTCTGGACACAGACCTGCAGGCTCTTCGCTGGGAACCTTCCAAGAAAGACCTCGAGAAAGCTAAGCTTGATATTTCTGCCATAAAAGAGATCCGACTGGGCAAGAACACGGAAACATTTAGAAACAATGGCCTCGCTGACCAGATTTGTGAGGATTGTGCCTTTTCCATACTCCACGGGGAAAACTACGAGTCTCTGGACTTGGTGGCCAATTCAGCGGACGTAGCAAACATCTGGGTGTCAGGGTTGCGGTATCTGGTTTCTCGAAGTAAGCAACCCCTCGATTTTATAGAGGGCAACCAGAACACACCAAGGTTCATGTGGTTGAAGACAGTGTTTGAAGCAGCAGATGTTGATGGGAATGGGATTATGTTGGAAGACACCTCTGTAGAGTTAATAAAACAACTCAACCCTACCCTGAAGGAGTCTAAGATTAGGCTCAAGTTTAAAGAAATCCAGAAGAGCAAAGAAAAACTGACAACTCGAGTGACAGAAGAGGAGTTCTGCGAAGCTTTTTGTGAACTTTGCACCAGGCCGGAAGTGTATTTCTTACTTGTGCAGATATCAAAAAACAAAGAATATTTGGACGCCAATGATCTCATGCTTTTTTTGGAAGCTGAGCAAGGAGTCACCCATATCACTGAGGACATATGCTTAGACATTATTCGGAGATACGAACTTTCCGAAGAAGGACGTCAGAAAGGGTTTCTTGCAATTGACGGCTTTACCCAGTATTTGTTGTCACCAGAATGTAACATTTTTGATCCTGAACAGAATAAGGTTGCCCAAGACATGACCCAGCCTTTATCTCACTATTACATCAATGCCTCTCACAACACCTATCTCATTGAAGACCAGTACAGGGGGCCAGCTGATATTAACGGGTATGTTAGAGCTTTGAAAATGGGCTGTCGCAGCATTGAGCTTGATGTAAATGATGGCTCAGACAACGAACCGATCCTTTGTAACCGAAACAACACGACAACACACCTTTCCTTTCGAAGTGTCATAGAGGTGATAAATAAATTTGCCTTCGTGGCTTCTGAATACCCACTCATTCTTTGCTTGGGGAATCACTGCTCCCTACCACAGCAGAAGGTAATGGTCCAACAGATGAAAAAGGTCTTTGGCAGTAAACTCTATACTGAAGCACCTTTGCTGTCAGAATCCTACCTCCCGTCACCAGAAAAATTAAAAAGAAGGATCATTGTGAAAGGAAAGAAATTGCCTTCTGATACAGATGTTTTAGAAGGAGAAGTTACAGATGAAGATGAAGAAGCCGAAATGTCTCGAAGGATGTCAGTAGACTACAATGGTGAGCAGAAACAGATCTTACTGTGTAGGGAGCTCTCTGACTTGGTATCTATCTGTAAATCTGTTCAGTATAGGGATTTTGAATTATCTATGAAAAGCCAAAACTATTGGGAAATTTGTTCATTTAGTGAAACAGAGGCCAGCCGAATTGCAAATGAATACCCAGAGGATTTTGTAAATTATAATAAGAAGTTCTTATCACGAATCTATCCAAGCGCCATGAGAATTGATTCCAGTAACTTGAATCCACAGGACTTTTGGAATTGTGGCTGTCAGATCGTGGCAATGAATTTCCAGACTCCAGGTCCAATGATGGACCTCCACACAGGCTGGTTTCTTCAGAATGGAGGCTGTGGCTATGTTCTAAGGCCGTCTATCATGCGAGATGAAGTTTCTTACTTCAGTGCAAACACAAAGGGCATTGTACCTGGGGTGTCTCCTCTAGTGCTTCATATTAAGATTATCAGTGGTCAGAACTTCCCAAAGCCCAAGGGAGCGTGTGCCAAAGGGGATGTCATAGATCCCTATGTGTGTATAGAGATACATGGAATTCCAGCGGACTGTTCAGAACAAAGAACTAAAACTGTCCAACAAAACAGTGATAACCCTATTTTCGATGAGACGTTTGAGTTTCAAGTGAACCTGCCTGAACTGGCCATGATCCGTTTTGTGGTTCTGGATGATGATTACATTGGGGATGAGTTTATAGGGCAGTACACAATACCGTTTGAGTGCTTGCAGCCTGGGTATCGGCATGTTCCGCTCCGCTCCTTTGTGGGTGACGTCATGGAGCATGTGACTCTTTTTGTCCACATAGCAATAACTAATAGAAGTGGAGGAGGAAAGCCACAGAAGCGCAGCCTTTCAGTGAGGATGGGGAAGAAGGTTCGGGAGTGTACCATGCTCAGGAATGTTGGTCTTAAAACCATAGATGACATCTTTAAGATAGCAGCTCATCCCTTACGAGAAGCCGTAGATATGAGAGAAAATATGCAGGTAGGAAACGGCCCATCCTGTTCTTCCCTCCCCTCCTTCTTCTGATCTTTCTCTCACCAGTGAACGTTGAACGTTGTGTTTTTGCTAATGATCTGATTCCTCAAAAAATTATCACAGAGGCTGTATAGACCCATGTACTGCTGAATTAGGTTCAGTATTGCCTGTGATAAAACATATACTTAAAAAAAACTTTTCTTGGAGTATAGTTAATTTACAATGTTGTTTTAGATTCAGATGTATAACAAAGTGAATCAGTTATAAATATATGTATATCTATTCTTTTTTAGATCCTTTTCGTATATAGGCCATCAGAGTGTATTGAGTAGAGTTCCCTGTGCTATTCAGTAGGTCCTTATTAGTTATCTATTTTATATATAGTAGTATGTAGTCAATTCCAATCTTCCAGTTTAGCTCTCCCCCCTTACTCCACCCTGTAACCGTAAGTTTTTTCCCTACATCTGTAACTCTGTAAAACAGATATATTTTATGTTTCTGATTGTGAATGCTTTGTTAAATCTGGTCTGAACTAAACCAAACTAATAGAGCAATGTAGCAAAATATTTTATATATCCACTAAATGTCCTTAGTACACAGTAAATTGATATATGGGAATATGTATTGGAAACAATGAAAAAAAGAATATAAAATAGTATATGTGCATGTAATATACAAAATTTTATATATACAGACACATACATACTAATTATAAGTATATATAAAAATATTTACAGATAAGAAAATAGAAGGGTATTTAAAGTCATATAAAACATGTAATGCCTGTTAGATTATTTTTTAGTTGTTTAAGTGTATAATAATGATAAATTATCTTCCATGAAACAAGCAAAAAACTAATAAACAAAATTCAGCACTTGAACTTGTTGAAAACTATTTAGTTGTTTCAGTGTTGTGCATCAATTGAAAGGACATGGATTCTGAATTAAACTCTATCACTGTGTGATTTTTGAGTTTTCTCCTCATAAGATAAGAAAAATAGTAATAATTACATCATAGGATTATTATGAGAATTAAATGAGAGTGAATGTAAATGACCCAGTCTTAGCATGTAGGAATTCAATTCAGTTTTCTTGCCTTCATTAACACTTATAATCAGAGAAGGCTGAAAACTTTTTCTTTAATGCTGTTTAGTATATGCACTCTAGGCTCGTGTTACTGAGAAACAGTCAAACAACAAATGCTTAATAAGTTCTTACAAGGCGCAAGGAGGTCTTGTTTGGCAGAAGTGGCAGCAGTCTACGTATGAGAACAAAAAAGGAGAGGAATGCTTTTCAATGTGCTTTATTTGATCCTTTAGTTAACATTTTTATAGTAACCACCCAAAATCCCTACATCCAAAATAGAAAACAAGCTTAAAGAGGTTAAGCAATTTCCCCAATATTGCATTTAATAAATGGGAATGTTGAGCTTTAAATACAGAATTAGCTGCCACCAAAACCCAATAATCACTCAAGATTCTCAGTCACCTAATGTGGAACAGCACACTATGACTTGGTGAAAACTTTATTTTTACATTATTTCACAGAGAAATTCTGGAATGGGCTTAAGATCAATTTAAAATTGCCATAATGGAAAATACTACGTTACATACAAATACTTAGATTGTAAATGTATGATTGGCAGTGGGTTGCCTTAACCACTATTATAAAAATAAGTTCCAAATATTAACATTCTCTACCTGGCTTTTTCTGACATAATTCTGCAACCATTATAGACCCCTGTGTTAGATTAGTTATAAGTCATTTCTACACTTAACTTTATATATTCGAAGTAGATTTTGTACAGTTCCATATAGTTCTTGAAATATGTCCTTTGCATGTATTATATATTTAAAATACATATTAAGGAGATTTGGCTATGGATAAAGTTTTTTCTGTTAGCATAACATCTCATTTCAACATAAAGGATTATTTAGAGCCTAATTAGTATAAAAATGAATGCCATCATTGTCACTAAATTCATGAGGCATGCTAGGTTAGGTATTGTTCATTGTTAATAGGCATAATTGCTATTTCAAATATTTTTTTAAAATGCCTGTCACATGGACAAGTGTAGCTTTTCATAGAATGTGTTTTATGCACATCTGTCAGGTGCATTTCTGATGGAGTGACAGAGGGATACCATTGACAGTTATGTGAAAAGTGGGTGATGAGCAATAGCAGCTTGCTACCTTGTGGGAAAAATCTCAAAGGAGATGCACTCCAATGTACAATCAGTGATGTGCTTTTATGATCATCATGATACAGATTTAATAATATATTCATGATCAGTCCATGTTAACTTGTATGCATTGTCCAGAATATTTCAGATATTCCAGAATCTTCCAGAGCCCTACTTTGAAAAGTACTGAGTAACTTTAGGTCATAACCTCCTTTGCTTTGTGGCATATTTGTAGCAGTTGTTAAAAGTTGGGAAAGATGAATTGAAATTGTGAATTAGCTCTGCGTGTTATCTCCATGTATATTATAGTATTTTGGGTTGATTATAATCCAGTTTGCTTCAAATTACATATGTATTTAAGGGTATGCTTCTAATGAATGTACTTTCGTGTACTGGAAGTGCTCAGGGTGGTGTTCTATGGTCAGAAGTGTAATTCTCTGTTTTCTCCCACACAGAATGCCATAGTGTCTGTTAAGGAATTGTGTGGACTTCCGCCAATTGCCAGTCTGAAGCAGTGCCTGTTGACCCTGTCCTCTCGGCTCATCACCAGTGATAATACTCCCTCCGTCTCTCTTGTGATGAAAGACAGCTTTCCTTATCTGGAGCCTCTGGGGGCAATCCCAGATATGCAGAAAAAGATGCTAGCTGCTTATGATCTGGTAGGAAATTGTTACTCTCTGTTTATTGTCTGTGTGGGAGGAAATCATATTGCAGGGCCTCTTTTATGAAACTTCAGTAAATAACATAGAGTGACTGCCTTTAAAATCCTTGACTGGGGGTGCCAGGCAGAACTGGCCCACTCAGCTCCACCTAAGCCCCAGTGGAGACCTCTGAGACAATGCTTTGAACCCAGAGCTCCACAGATTAAAACTGGAAAATCTCTGCTCTATGCTCTAGAATAGCAAAGAATAAATTTTGACTAAGACCTCAAAAGTATACACAATTTCTCATTATCTAAATAACTTTAGCCTGCAATATAACTATTTAATCACATGCCTAGAGGAAGTAAAATTATGCCTCAGTACTGTCTTATGATGGTTGAGACAAAATAATTCTCTGGAATTTATATTTCTAGGCTAATACTGTTATCTGATTTTTCTGAATATATAATGGAATTTAAATATCAAGTAAACTTAAGAATAATGATATTTTTGCAAGTCCTAATTCCATAATAAAATTAAGACCAGGTGAAGAATTGGAAAAATTTGTGACATGTGCACCAGATAAAGTGTAAATAATCTTAAAATAGAAAAAGCATTTAAAAATCAATAAGAAAAAGAAATAAGAAAAAAAAAACCTTGTACCAGTCAGGGTTAAGTTCAGCTTCTCAAAACTAAAAATGCAAACCAATCCTGCTTAAAAATACAGTCTCTCACACAAAAATCTCGCAGCCATTCATGGTGACACTTCTATAAAATTCTTAGGAACTTAGGCTCTCCCTCTAGTTTTCTGTTCTACCATCTCTAGACCATCCTCAGGGTCCAAAATGGCTGTTGAAGCTCCAGCCATAATATCTGCATTCCAACCATCAGGAATGATGAAGAGGAAAAAGAGGGCACTATTCTTTCCCTTTAAGGACATGTCTCTGAAAAAAGGTACATCACATTTTATTTCATCAACCTGGAGTTGACACATAGACATGTATACGTGCAAATGAGAATGTGGAATATCTTTATTTTGTGTATTTTTCAGTTTAAAAAAATTATTTGATTCACTTATTTGTGACTATACTGGGTCTTCATTGCAGGGGGGCTTTTCTCTAGTAGCAGTGTGCAGGGGGCTACTCTCGAGTCGCAGCGTGCAGGCCTCTCACCGTGATGGCTTCTCTTGCTGCCCAGCACGGGTCCTAGGGTGCATGGGCTTCAGTAGTTGCGGCACATGGGCTGAGTAGTTGTGGCTCCTCGGCTCTAGGGCACAGGCTCAATGGGTGTGGGGCCTGGGCTCAGCTGCTCTGCAGCTTGTGGGATCTTCTTCAATCAGGGATTGAACCCCATGTCTCCTGAATTGGCAGGGGATTTTTTACCAGTGAGCCATGAGGGAAGCCCAGAAATATCTTTATTTTAAAGGGCTATGTGCTCAACTAAAAATAATTTCTTCTGTTACTAAAAAATAGAGAATGGATGTTAGGGGACAACAAGTAGTCTTTGCTTCAGAGGTGAACAGGCAATTTATGTATCTTCTCTCCCTCAAAAATAATGAAAAATTTAAAAACATGCTATACTGTGTGCTAAGTTGTGTATGACTCTTTGCGACCTTATGACTGCAGCCCACCAGGCTCCTCTGTCCATGGGGACTCTCCAGGTGAGAATACTGGAGTGGGTTGCCATGCCCTCCTTCAGGGGATCTCCCCCACCAGGGATCGAACTGAAGCTCTTATGTCTCCTGCATCGGCAGGCAAGTTCATTACCACTAGTGCCACCTGCTGCTGCTGCTGAGTCGCTTCAGTCGTGTCCGACTCTGTGTGACCCCACAGATGGCAGCCCACCAGGCTCCCCCATCCCTGGGATTCTCCAGGCAAGAACACTGGAGTGGGTTGCCATTTCCTTCTCCAATGCATGGAAGTGAAAAGTGAAAGTGAAGTCGCTTAGTCGTGTCTGACTCCTAGTGACTCCATGGACTGTAGCCCACCAGGCTCCTCGATCCATGGCATTCTCTGGAAGTCCCAAAACATGTTTAACCTTAAAACAAGTTTTAAATTTAATATATTAAAGAAATGTAATGAGATACTTCCTCTCTCCATCAAATTGGTAACTTTTAAAATAGTACCTCTTAAGTACATAAATACTATCATCCATCTACCTCTAGTGGGGAAATAAATTGGTAAATTTGGGGGGGGGGGATTTGGCAATATAATTTAAAATGATTATCCTATTTGATCCATGTATTTTGTATCCAGGGATTTACTCTAAGTCAATAGATGTGTACATAAACATCTGTGGTTAGTAATGTCAACATGGAAGGATAACTGGAATCCACCTGCAATGAGGGAGACCTGGGTTCAGTCCCTGGGTAGGGAAGATACCCTGGAGAAGGAAAAGGCTACCCACTCCAATATTCTGGCCTGGAGAATTCTATGGACCATATAGTCCATGGAGTCGCAAAGAGTCGGACACGATTGAGAGACTTTCACTTCACTTCAGGGGGATAAATTAAATATAGTAAGCCATATTATGGACTTCCTTAAAACCATTAAAATTGTGTTAGAAGAATATTTGATGATATGAAGGACTCCTCATAGTATGTTTTGTGAGAGAGTCTGGTTGCAAAAATTATATACATTAAATTTTATTTGTATGTAAGATCATGGCATCTGGTCCCATCACTTCATGGGAAATAGATAGGGAGACAGTGGAAACAGTGTCAGACTTTATTTTTTTGGGCTCCAAAATCACTGCAGATGGTGATTACAGCCATGAAATTGAAAGACGCTTACTCCTTGGAAGGAAAGTTATGACCAACCTAGATAGCATATTAAAAATCAGAGGCATTACTTGGCCAACAAAGGTCCGCCTGGTTAAGGCTATGGTTTTTCCAGTGGTCATGTATGGATGTGAGAGTTGAACTGTGAGGAAAGCTGAGTACTGAAAAATTGATGCTTTTGAACTGTGGTGTTGGAGAAGACTCTTGAGAGTCCCTTGGACTGCAAGGAGATCCAACCAGTCCATCCTAAAGGAGATCAGTCCTGGGTGTTCCTTGGAAGGACTGATGTTGAAGCTGAAACTTCAATACTTTGGCCACCTGATGCAAAGAACTTACTCATTGGAAAAGACCCTGATGCTGGGAGGGATTGGGGGCAGGAGGAGACGGGGACAACAGAGGATGAGATGGCTGGATGGCATAACTGACTCAATGGGCATGAGTTTGAGTAAACTCCGGGAGTTGGTGATGATCAGGGAGGCCTGGTGTGCTGCGATTCATGGGGTTGCAAAGAGTTGGACACGACTGAGCGACTGAACTGAACTAAACTGAACTGACATCTAAAATGTTAGCAGGGTATTAATAGTGATTATTTTTAAATAAGGAGAGTGAGTTTTATTTTCTTGCACATGCTTTTCTATGTTTTTTCTGTATTTACCAAACTCTTAACAATGAACCTGACTAATTTTCATAATTGAATAAAAGTAGATGTTAAGAAAGAAAATGATACTTTTTTATCATTCAAAAGCAACTAGAAGAGAGATATTGGGAATAAATACCCTACACTTGAGAAAGAAAAGCCCACAGAGCATATTCTGCTTATGAATAATCAGACCTCTTACAAATTGTACTTCATGGTTGCTGGGGAAGAAGTTTGCCTGTTACCTAAATCTCGTTTTTCATGAAATAAATTTCTTCATCATCATAGTAGGGACTGAAAGCTAAACAGTGAATAGGTGTAGCTGCCATCTAAGAGGTGACATTAGGGTACCTGTTGCCATAGAGACAGACAATTGAAACACTTATTGCTCCAATTCCCTTTGTAAGCTAAGAAAGAAAAATCACTCACAGAGAGGGGAGCCTGGTTCCCTGGAGCTGGGCTGTAATAAGCAGTAAAGCACCTGTACTGTGGTTAGCCAGTTCCCATATCATATCCCCAAGTGTCCCATGGTATTAGAACTACACCTGCTGGCCAAATCTCATTCATATTTTTAAAATATAATTTCTAATTGCATGTACACCATGGTTTCCCAAAGTTTAAAATAAAAGACTATAGTGGAAAGCAGAAATACTTCTTTTTAATTTAATTTTATGTTTTGGCTGTGCTATGCAGCTTGTGGGATCTTAGCTCCCTGACTGAGGATTGAACCATGGCCCTGGGCAGTGAAAGTGTGGTGTCCTAACCACTGGAACCACCAGAGAATTTCCATGGAAAGCAGAACTACTTCTAATGATGTGTTCATTTATAGTTCCCTTTGGGAAAGATTTTTGTTTTGGTAGGGAGTTGAGAGTATACATCCCTATAGCTAGCATAGGCTGTCCATAACATGTAAGTGTTAGTCGCTCAGTCGTGTCTGACTCTTTGTGACCCCATGGACTGTAGCCTGCCAGGCTCCTCTGTCCATGGAACTCTCCAGGCAAGAAGTGGATAGCCATTCCCTTCTTCAGAGGATCTTTCTGACTCAGGGATTGAACCCGGGTCTTCTCCGTTGAAGGCAGATTCTTTATCTGACCTTACCAAGTGTTAAACTTGGCCAATTGTGGACATGACCAAAAATACTGTTGACGTCTCAGTTGGTTATTTCTTTAAGGGGGTGCTGTAGATATGGGCTAGACACATGCCATGATGATCTCAAAAACCATTTTCCTTTAGGATTTGCACTGTGTAGGTTGACATCTTTAGTTAGTTAGTTCAGTCGCTCAGTCGTGTCTGACTCTTTGCGACCACATGAATCGCAGCACTCCAGGCCTTCCTGTCCATCACAAACTCCTGGAGTTCACTCAAACTCATGCCCATTGAGTCAGTGATGCCATCCAACCATCTCTTCCTCTGTCGTCCCCTTCTCCTCCTGCCCCCAATTCTCCCAGCATCAGGGTCTTTTCCAATGAGTCAACTCTTCGCATGAGGTGGCCAAAGTACTGGAGTTTCAGCTTCAGCATCAGTCCCTCCAATGAACACCCAGGACCTATCTCCTTCATGACAGACAGGTTGGATCTCCCTTCAGTCCAAGGGACTCTCAAG